TTTTTTTTTTAAAACATCTAAATGTGTCCAAGAAGTAACTCTTAGTGATAAAGGATAGAAAAAGGCAGCCACGTTCCTTACAGGAAAGTTTTTAGTGGCTGTGGTTAGTCTTGACAGTGACTTTTCACCTACCTTGATAAACAGAGATTACTCTTAATTATGCATTATTTGTAACTAGGAAGTGTTGTCAAGGATGACAGAATATTACATTGAAGACTCAAACATAACTTTATTTTTGTTTTTCTTTAGAAAAAAAAGACTGCTGCCTTTTCAGTGGAAACGATCTTACAAGGACTGTCCCACTGAGATCAGTGAGGTGTACTGCTCATGGCCTGCTTTTTTCAGAATTTTCTTCCCCATTTATTTCATACTGTTTTTGTTCAAAATTTTGCTGTTGTGGCCACAGCGCCGGCGGCGTCGCGGCTGGCCCCGGGCCTGGGCCGGTCACACCACGGAAAGTCAGCTCCCGCGTCTGCAGGCGCTCTCTGGCGAACTCCGTTAACGTTTAGGCTGTTTAGAAAGACCTAGCAAGGCGGTAAGCGACAGTCAATATTTAAGTGCCGAATTAAGACTTAATTTGCTGGACCCCCGGCTTACCCGCACGGTTTCTGAGCTCGCGTGGGCCTGCGCTGCCCCGTCCGCGAGTGGGATGGTGCCTCCACACCTCACGGCGGGGAAACTGGGAACCTGCCTCAAGCTCATAAAAGCTTCTCCGTGCTGTGAGATTCTGCGTAAGGCGGTAGTTGGTGCAACCAGTGAGTACAGCCTGAGTAGCCTTTACCCACTGGTCATTTGGCCTCCCCGCTGTCCTGTTCCTACCCAGGAAGGTCACTGGCGATGAAGTGTCCCATCGTATCCTCCAATACCGTGTGTCTTGGCTCTCTAATGCAAAAGTTAAGTTACAGTATCCCTTCATCATACCCTGTGTTGTCTTTGCTAATGACTAGAGATGCTGAGCATGTCCAGGATTTTACAGTCAAATGTGTAATACAGTTTACTGCAGCTCAGCGATCCCTGCCCTTTTTCAGGATGTTTCTTTGCTATTCTGACACAGATTCATTAGAATTAACTAGATATCGCGTCTTTTACCACTTTTTTTTTTTTTTCCCACACAAACCTTTGAGCATCAGAGTCTCTTGAAGTATGCTGTGGACACTGCTAAGTCAGGTCTCATTCTGTGTCCTCACAGGGACCCAGTTTCTGTTGAAAAGAGGAGAACCTTCCTAACAATCTGGTTGGTATCTCCTCAAAACAGGCACATTAGAACGAGTTAGCTTTGAATAGCAGTTTGTGGAGGTCTCCTGTGATCGATTCATACATCAGTATATTGATGAAAAAGACTTTGACCAAGTAATCATTATGTCACCTTTCTGTAAGCACGCACCGCTGTAACCTCAAAAGGTATTTAAGAGAAAGTTGTTTTGAACTGATGCGGAAAAGTTGGAACAGCAGACCCTTGAAAAGCTTTTTTGAATCTTAGCATCAAGTAAAACTCGATGCAGCTTTAGGGTTGCTATCATTCCCTAGGGAATGAAGTAAAACTTGCAAGTCCAGTTCCTTTAGTAAAGCTTTCTTTGGTGTGTGTATGTGAGACAGTAGCTGAGCTGTGGATAACAAAGCTCCAGGAAGTCATCTCTGCCATTTAAATGACAGGTAGCTTGTCAACTGGAAGGAGGGTGCTGACATATGGTTCAAGTTAAACGTTTGATTTAGTGATAATTTTGTTTATTGATGATGTTTTCTCATTAATCATCTGTTGATCTGGACCTAGACTTACTTTAAAGTGAAATGGATGCATTTTACTTAGTTTAAATAAGCAAAACAAACTCTGTAACTTTAATGAGAGATTTTAAAAAGAAATGGTTTTGTGCATAGTTATTAATAATTAGTGCATATGCTTTGAGTGGCAAGAAGAGAATATTCAGATGGATGCATATTCCTCGTGAAATGAAGAGAACCGAAATGCAGAGAAGCAAAATGCAGAAGATTGTATGTCAGAAGACTGGCCAGTGATTAGCTGATGTTTTTCTTTTAGGAAGCTTTCTGTTCCAGTCAGCAAACTGCTGTTTCACTACTCCGTGTCTGTGGATGAACAGGAAGTGAAGCAAACCCAGAGAGGAACTTCACTTACCTTTTAATGAACATCAAAAAACAGGTTAAACTTGTCAATGATCAATCTCTTCATTTTACTACCACTGATCTTATTCTTGAAATCCTGCACTAATTATGGGCTGAGATCTTGTATGCTAAACCTCACTATGTAGGAGAGTGTTTTGTGTAAATGTTCCAAGGGCAAAGAAGGTTATTACTCATGAGCGTAACATAATTAACATATGCTCTCTCGTGGTTTTTTCCTAAACCTTGGTGTCCTGTTGAAGGAGGATTATGAAAGAGGAAGAAGAAATCCTTTTTCTCAAACCTCTACCTCTCTTGGGAAAGAGGACCTTTTTGGTATAGTGCCAAATGGATGAACTTACCCAAAACACATTATGTGGTCCATGATTCCAAAACACTTAATGGAACTGAATCTTGTATGCTCCATTTATGTGAAATCCATGGGATGTTCTTGAAAAGTGTAAACAAAGATCAAATTTTTGGTCAGTCTTGAGTTCTTTTAAATAGCCTTAACAGAACTGGAAATACAGGAGCCAAAGCACCGGTGTCAAGTTAAGGCATTATAAATAATATATTCACAGTAAATAGAGGCTCACACTCAATTTTGACTGTGCATCTTATAAATTAAGCTTCTGCAAGCTGCTTTTTGTTGATAATTTGCTTACCTCCTTAAAGGAGCCCCTACCAAAATAATCTTTCATTTATGTTGTATATGTTCTTTATTTTTGAGACATAGTTTACTTGTTTTGATGACTGATGATGTCAGAATAAATGTTGTTTTCAGACAAATATTAAAATCATTAATAGGGCGTGGACATTGACAAGCCCTTCCATCCTTGTTTATCTGCCTGTGCATTGTACTGTAGTGGAAAAATGATTATGAAGTCAAAGTCCATCTTTTGAACTGTAGAGAAGAGAAATTAAATACCCATCTTGAGTTGAGACAAACCTCTTAACAAGCTGCAGTTTAAAAAGAAATTTTTAAAACTTCACAGTACCTACTTATCTAGGTTTATTAGGTTGTTAAACAGGATCTAGAATTCACCTCCAAATTTTGGTGACACAAGGCCGTGTATATTCCCACAGAGTGTGGAGGTTTTGATCCGATTAGCTCTCTGAAGAGTATTTGTTTTGACCAGGAGCATCCCGGTTCTGTCTGGGCTCACTTTGAACTTGCAGCGTTTTCTTTAAGAGCTCAGATCTACAGACAGCCTGACAATGTGCATAACGACTGTGTTAGCAGAATCAGTAAGGCAGAATAATTAATCATGGCTGTTAAAATTTTATGTCATTTCTGCTTGTTGATTTTGAGTGGAAGTAACCTTTATGAAACATTTATTTAGTCAATAAGTAAATGTACCAGATGTGGTTGTGCAAATATTCCTTCTCTTTTTATATGTTACGGTGATTTGAGAGAAGGAGCTTAGAGGATTAGAGAACTAGGTAAAGCCTCCAGTAGTACAATGGTTTTGTTAGGCTGTTGTGATGCCACTGGAGACACCGCAGCAATCCTGGAAACAGAGGTACTTTTTACATGATGCAGCGTAAAGAGAACAGCAGGGTTTCCACTCTTTCCTCCTCTGCTCTTTCAATTACTATTTTTATAATGCAGCTTATTGTTAGTCCGTCCCGTCCTCTGGTTGAAGATGGCCTGTGAAAGCATTGTAGTTGGTGTCGCTATGCATTTTTATTTTTTTTTCTGCATAGGAAAGGCAATTGTTAATTAGCAGCAAATGCACGGTATAATACGCGGAGTTAAATACACGCGGATCAGATGCGTGCGTTTGCTACAGTACGATGTGGTGCAGCGGGCAGGAAGACATCCGTTTTCTGCGGTTAGAAAACTCAGTTCTCTCATTTCACAGGGAATGCTCGAACCGAACCGAGAGCCTTTGCAGGGCCCGTCACCGTGCAGCGCGGGCTCTGCTCCGCTGTCGCGGAAGGTGGCGGCCGGGGAGGTGGGTTGGGAGCAGGAGCCCGTTGCCCGGCGCTCACGGCCAGTGACGATGTGCATGTCGGCCGTGCCGCCGCGGATGGCCTATTGCGATGGACCCGGGGAACGGCGGCCACCCAAATTCACCCAGCAGAATGACATTCTGCTGCAGAAGCGTGACGGAGCCAGTCACACCCGGCACCGCGCAGCCAATGGACGCCGCTCTCTTACCCAGGCGCCGGCAGGGGCTCTGTCTCTGTAGGACCCTGGCACAGCTCTGCAGACGGCATTCCTGCAGAGACAGCCCGCTCCGAGTTTGTTTCCCAGCACAATAGTCGCCCTTGCTGTGATTCATGTCCCAGTAATAGCAATGCTATTGTAAATGCTTGCTGTAAAGCCGGGGAGCGACGTGCCTTGCCTGCCACGTGATCTGCAGCTGGTGGGGACAGTGCCTGAGTAATTCGGGTCTTGTTTCCCATTTAGCATTGCCACGGCTGCCTGCCCAGCAGACCTGCTTACGAGAGCCAGAGGGATGGTGGTAGTTACGGGGCAGAACAAAGTGAGTGGAAACCCGGATGATGCCATGTCGAGCTCAGATGCAGAGGATGATTTCCAAGAGCCAGCCACTCCTACTGCAACCCAGGCAGGACAAGCACTACCTCTGCTGCCTCAGCAGGTAAGAGCGCTCTGGGACTGCTCAGCTGACAAGGGCCAGTTATTGCAGCATGTACTGCTCAGGTGCCAGAGAATTCGGGATTTCTTTGTTGGAGTATTTATGGATATCCAGTTCAGTTAGAATGAAAACTTAGAATAAAACTTAAGTCTTTTGAATTTCACTTCCTTAGCTTGACAGCGATGCTCAGAATTTCCATCAGTGTTTGGACTTGACAAACACATGTGTTTATTCTAGTACCAAGACATCTTAAGGTGTGATATTAAGATTTTATACCTGCTGTAAATTTTCAGTGTATAGTATACCATAGTATAGTAGTGAAAAGTAACCAGCAGAGTAGCAACTGAGTGCAAATCCCAAGGTTGGCCTGAGATTTCCTACCTTTGGGGGGGTCATGGGGGTGTGTGTAAGGGTGGGGAGGGGTTTTTGTTTTGTTTTTTCTTTTCCTTAAAAGAGGCAACAGGAATCATTCATGTTTTTAATGAATATGTGGTATTAAGGCTGATTACTGCTGTTTCACATTTCCAACTAAAATGAAAACATTCACTCATTACACCCAGAAGCCAGCCAAAGTATTCAAATTGTTAACCCTTGAACCTCACTGTTCTGTGGCGACAGACCAGGAAGGAAACATTTGTTGAACCAAATTGTGTCACAGTGGCAAAGACTGTATGCTGTGTCTTCTCGCAGTGGTAACCCTTTTGGCCTGAACATGTCTGCAAAGGACTAGAGGCTCATTTCTGATGATGTGATTGCTTTTGCAGTTTCCAGAAGTTGTCCCACTAAACGTAGGAGGCATGTATTTTACAACAAGACTGTCAACACTGAGACGTTATGAGGACACAATGTTGGCAGCTATGTTCAGTGGAAGACACTATATTCCAACAGATGCTGAAGGCAGATATTTTATTGACAGAGATGGAACCTACTTTGGGTATGTACAGTGTCCTCAGTAGTATACTTTAAAAGTTGTTACTGAATAAAATTATTTTTAAAGAAAAAGAAGTTTTAATTTTTTTTTCCTTCTAGTTTATTGATGTAGTAGGTAACTGTGACTTCCTGGCATCCATGCTTTCAAAACATCTCAAGGGAAGAGTATATTGCAGTTAAAAAACTACTTGTTTTAGTCCTAAGAGCTTAAGTTTTAATTTGGGGAAAGAAAAACAAACAATGTTTTGAATTTGTGCATTGTCTTGTCTAGAGTATCTCCTTTCAAGATATCAGGTTGTTTTGATGTTTTAAAAAAGTATATATTTGGCATTGCTTTTCATAGGAAGCTTTTTTGTGCAACACTGTTATTTAACTGATATTACAGTATTTATGATAAAGAGGGAATGGAAGGAATGCATCTAGGTTTCTTAAACAGTTGTAAGTATGATGTTTTCAGTGATTAACGGTATATAACTGTTAAAAAAGCACAAGCCTCAAAGAGTTTTTTAAAAAAATATATTTTTGCTGGTAGTGCTACATTCCTTCGCTTTCAGGATTCCTTCTTATGTGTTTAGCTTTCATTTTAATTAAACTAACCATGATCTTACTAATACTCTTTGAATTGGTGTGAGATTGCTAGCAAACGTTAGCAGTGTTTGTGAGTCAATGTTCACGGGTTAAGATCTTTGGCCAAAGCACAATTTGCAATTTTAACTTGTATTTCTTGTTTCTCCTTCGTAGACATTTCCTTAATCTCTTCAACTAAGAAGGGTTGGATTATTTTCAAAGCACATTTGGATTGTACTATAGTCTGGGACAGAAATAAATGAAGCCACTATATTTATTGGGAAATAATTGCTTCTTTACGTTTGGCACTTTGAAAGTGCCTGCCACCTTGTTGGGAAATCGATTTATTTGTGATGTTATCAATCTGAACTCAAAATATAGCTGGAACAGAGAGCCAAGTTAGCACTTGCTGTATTTGTTGACATTCTAATGAAGATTGTAGTAATGCTTGTTTTATTTGATATGGTCAATAATTTTGTGGTTAATGCTTTTAAATTGATTTCTTACCCTGTTAAAAATCTTGGAGCTTAACAGTGTTTCAGAACTACAAGGAAGTGTTCTCTCTCGCTCTTCCTTATTACTATTACATATACTATAAGTACATGGCTCTGATCCCATGAAGAAAACACCTCCTGTGCGTAATGAACCATTCATTCAGTTAGGATAGTGGTTCTGTGTGGGATAAGATGTCCATGCATATGATTCTCCAGGAAAATGGAAAAGATTACTATGTCACAGACCTACATTTGAAATACAGTGACGACTATGTCTTTCTCATGAAATACTGTGTCCTCTTTTAAGTGGATACTCTACCTTGAACTTTTTGTGTAAAATTTGATGGTATATTTTGGAGCGAGTTTTGACATTAACAGAGGCAAAATGTGAAATGATGACTTGGAAATTTGGATGCAACGCATGCTTTTAAAAACATATGTTGGAAATACAACTCGGTTATTTCAGTTACTGTCTAAGTGTAAGGATTTCTGTCTCAATAGAATAAACAATGAATATCTAGTGTTTCCTCTCCTTTCCCACCTGCAATAGTTTTGGCAGAAACATGTTACTTTATAATGTTTTTGCCCTTTTTTTTAGAGACATACTTAACTTTCTACGATCTGGTGACCTGCCATCCAGAGAACGAGTGAGGTCAGTTTACAAGGAAGCTCAGTATTATTCTATAGGACCATTGCTAGACAATCTAGAGGATATCCAGCCTCTTAAAGGAGAAAAAGTTAGACAAGCTTTCCTGGGCCTGATGCCATATTACAAAGGTAAATAAACAAAGTAGTATTGATTGTTTCTTCTAGTGTGATTCAAGTAGTATACACAGTGCTTTCAGGTCTGCTTTCAGCTCTCAAACTAATTGCATTGTATTTGAGAAGTTTATTATGAACTTTTCATGCTCTTTAGATCTTTACGGTCTCCACGTCGAGCTTGTTCCTGCTGCATCCAAGGCTGTGGATTTTTATGCTGTCTTAAAAGGAAGAAAGATCTAGGCCATAACATGCAAGGCTTATTAAAAGAGGTTTCTCTGCCTCTGCATTTGTTCTGTTATTACCAGCAATTGAATAAACTTGGGGAAATAGTAAGGACACCAAGTTCACAAGATAACTGAGATTGATTTAATTACTATATATCTAGCTACATGCAGCTTCCTGTTGCTGCTAATGTTAAGAATAACTTGTTAATCATTGCAGTAATGTATTTCACATTAAATAATTGCATTTGTTTTCTTTTACTAGATGCTTCATTGTTATTTTCTTTTTCTTTTTTTTTTTTTTAGATCATTTGGAACGGATAATCGAAATTGCAAAGCTCAGAGCTATGCAAAGAAAAGCAAGATTTGCAAAATTGAAGGTCTGTGTCTTCAAGGAAGAGATGCCCATCACTCCCTATGAATGCCCACATTTCAATTCATTACGTTTTGAAAGGAGTGAAAGTGAGACAAAGCTCTTTGAACATCACTGCGAAGTAGATGTATCTTTTGGCCCCTGGGAGGCTGTGGCTGATGTATATGATCTTCTGCACTGTATTGTGACAGACCTGTCTGATAGAGGGATAACTGTGGATCATCAGTGTATTGGCGTGTGTGATAAACACCTGATCAATCACTATTACTGCAAGCGTCCTATCTATGAATTCAAGATTACTTGGTGGTGAGTTATTTTGTCCAGAACGGTGCACAGGATAAAAGGACTTCTAGACGACAATTGCTTTTAATATTTTTGCAACGTGTCTCTGGAAATGCATTGCTGCTAACATATGTTGGAATCAGTCTGCTGAAATGTTGGCTAATGCTTAGCTGCTCAGCAAAAGGGAACCTGTTAGAGAGGCTGAGAAACCTCTGAAATCTTGAAAAAACAGCCTGAAACAAGACTGTTGGCTCAGGTACCTTAACGAGGCACAAAACAAAATCACCTCATGGAAATTATGGAGAGGAGCGTCTAACATCTTTTAAGAGAAGATGCCACCTACCATGTGGCTTCAGTATCATAGTCTGCAAAATGGATATTGCAGACATCACCTGCATTATTATAAAGCCGGGGTGCTAATAATGCTGACATAAACGTGGTTGAATTTTACCCACTTAGAAATGTTTTAGTCACTGCTTTATAAATTACTTACCACTTTATAAATTTGAGTAACACCCAGCACAGATATTCTGGAAATTTAATGTTGATGTAATAGGTCATTTAAAAAAAAAAAAAAGTATTCCCTACACATTATTAATTGTTGTTACAATTAAGCTATAATTTTTTAAATTAAGAATCTGCATTGTGAATTATTATATTTCAATTATTTCCATTGTTATAAAAAGGAATAGCAGATTTGGAATATATTCCTTAATGCTTTTAGGAATAATAACCGTTCATGGAAGACTTGTGCCTGTTTTTAGCCTTAGAATTTCTAAATGTTTACAGTATCTACAAAGCAAGAAGCTCTACAGAATCAGGTCATTTACAAAGGCTTTTGGTAAATGAGAAAAACCTATATGTATGTTCCTATTAGCAGAAGCAAGAGGAATATTTAATGTGTATTATTTTATTACTGACTTTTTACATTCTGTGATACTAAACTTTGTTCTAGAGTTAAAGTCAAATGATAATATTAGACCAATGCTTCCTTCACCTCACCTTCTTCAGACAATTAAGTCTCAGTTTTAACATTCTTGTTGACCCTTTTTGGTGTAATATCAAGAAAAAAAATTTCAACCTTCATATTCAAATCTCTCTCCAATTATAAACCAGTATATCTGAGTAGTAAATTTTTTTCCACACAGAAAGAGGCAGCCATTGCAGAATCCTATTCTTTTCAGAAGGTAACTGTTGCACTTCCAACATTAGTAACCATAGCCTGAAGTTGAATCACTTTATGTCCAAAACAGAGGTAGAGCTAAACATTTGAAGATACTACTGGTTTGTGAGGTACAGAAAACTCAAGTTTTTCTGAAAGACCCCACTTGAAGTGGTCTCAAAGAGAGAGGGAAAGTAAATGCTTGCATTTTGCATTCCATTGGATTAGTTAATCCAAGAATATTGCTGAATTAAATTTTTGACCAAAACACTTAAGAAATGCGTTAATTACAATGATAAAAATTCTCAGTTACCTGAGGTAATTTTTAGAATTATTCTAAGACTTTATGCAAAAAAGAAGCAAATTGTTTGCACTGTCACACTTTTATGGATTTCTCAGAATTTTTAGTAAATTTTCTCTCAGAGGCGTGGTCATATAGCTCTAATGATCTCTTTTAAAATGTTTACTTACAGAGGATCATTGTCAGGTGCTGAGTTTCAAGTCCAGAGTTTAAATTTTGAAATGGAGGGAAGGAGGAAATTACATGCATTTGGATCTCATTTTAAGTTTGTTTAAATTGTTTTCTTAAATATTGGCCTTTGTGTTACAAGTTGCTGTAATTGTGTATGACAACCCAAAATTAAAAGTCAAACTGAGACTAGTAAAGTTTCCCTAAAATAAGAGGAAGCTTTCATGGTTTCTTCACTACAGTGCTGTCTTCTTTTGGGTTGTTTTTTCTTTTTTCCAGGGAATCTTAAACTACAAACCACAGTTTCTAATAAAATAATGCAAGATCTTAAAGCTGAGTCTTACAGAGTTTTGGCTGCTTGTATACTTCAGACATTTTAAGTTCAGGATTTTTAGCATCCGTTTATTTAGAGACTACAATGAGAATTGTAGTTTTCCTGGGTTATTTTGAGTTTTTTGCTACTTCCCATATATGTATTTACATAGGAATTAACTCTGGTTTGAATTTCAGCACTACTTGCAGAAGTGGAACACAGTCTGATTTAACAGTATGGTTTTTGGTTTGGCTTTAAGAACTTTTCCACTGTTATTCTAGAGAAGCTATGATGGCAAAATTCCTGTTTCAGTCATGTTTGCTCTTTCTTCATATGCACACACTGATATTTTATAACATCTTCCTGTTTATTGCTTAAATAAGTAAGGAGCACTACGTAACCAAAAGGATAAAATTAAAATCTTGGTCCGTATCAGTTGCATCTTAATTGAAGCTTTCATCCTTCCAGATCCTCCAGAAGACAGCAAAACATTAAGTGCAATATTGAAAAAGAAAACATGGATTTGAGCCAACATGCTTTCATACATACATTCTGTATTGTGATTTGTGCAAGTTAACAATATTGGTATTGACTACACTTGTTCTAAGCAGTCGTTGTTTACAATGATTTAGATGATATTGCCTAATATGTATTCATTTTTTGACAGAAACAGAAGAGTTGTGCAGGTGGATGTCAGGGGAGTATAATCTAATAACTGGTTTATATAACATTACTGACTTTTTCTTTTCTTGGCGTATAGCGTAATTTTTGAAATTCTGCGTTTGCAACAAAAATGTGAGTAGCTGATTTACTAAATCCATGTTTAAGATTATTAATGTTTTTGTATATCATGAATGCTTTATAATTGTCTAATTAAACTAAATGCCTATGTAATACTGCTTTTTTTTTTTTTTTTTTTTAGCTTTTCTTTGTATCTGGCTAGGCCAGAGGTTTGCTAGAACATATTTACCTATTTTTCTGTGCTTCTCCTACTTAGCTTTTTTGCCACTTCATCATCTACACTGCTACTTTTGCACCCCCACACTCAGAATACCCTGTTTGCAAGCTGACACCACAGACAAATTGGCCATGCAGTACAGAGCCTCATGTCATCAATACAATGTTGCTATGAATATCATGTTTGCAGATCATTAAAAGCACAGGGCATGTCAGGCCATTTAGCTCATTCAATCTGAAGGAAAGATATTTTTTTTACTTCATGTTCTGAGACAGGAATCGTGCCATTTTTGGTTCCAAATTGATATATGGGAACATGTGTTTTAGTCAACTCTTCTTTTTTTTTTTTTTTTTTTCCCCCTCCTGCCTAAATAAGAAGTCTCAAATACTTTCAAAGCACAGATTGCATATCTGGATTGCAGGGATTACGCTGTTTTTATGAATACTGGGGGAAATGGTGGGACAGTTGAGGGATAGTTATTTAAAAAGTAGAATTGTTAGCTATTTTTTTTAGGTTGCTGTGTGCCTGAACAAAAACATAATGACTAATCTTTTTAACATCACCTCTATATATGCAGTGTCTAGTGGTTTTTAACAGGGAGCGAAGGGAGGTCTTACTATCAGGTCTTATGTGAAGTGATTTGGCCAATTTCACAGCACGTTAAATGCTTCTGCTTCAGTTTTACACTTGTAAAATAGGAAGGATACCTACTTGTCTTTATAAAGCACTCAGAAATGACATGAAAAAGTATTTATGTTTATGTGCACCACCCAATTAATGACTGGTGATTTCAAGCGTTTAAAAAAAAATTTAAAATATCATAACTTTTCAACTTGGTGTGGGCTTCTTAACTTGAATACCACAGTACGTAGTAATCTGAAATACTCATTGCTGAACTTCCATCCTCCTTGGAGGAAAGTGAAGGTACTAGCATCTTTGATCTGGGAAGCCTTTGAGCCATTAGTGGATTCTCATCCATCCTCGTGGTGCATGTTTTCTCCTGAGACTGCTGGATTTTAAATTTTTTTTTTTAAACTGATTTTAACCAAAACCTATAATGAGGGATCAGCTTCTGCACTGATGAGGGTATGGGTTCTTTGGTTTGTTTTGGGGTTTTTCAAGTCTTAGTTATCTGAATAGCAAATGCAGTAAGTTATTGCAGCAGTAAGTTCTGCATACCCTTCCTTTTGATGGATTTTTTTTTTAAGTTTTAGGAAAACTGCCTCATGATGTAATACGTGCAAATACCTGAATTTGTTAATGGGAATATTTTTGAGATTTTGTTGTTGTAGTTCAGTTGTGTTCATACTCTTCCCTGAAACTAGCATGAGAGTTAAGTTTTGAGTTAAACACTGTTTTGTGATAAATCTGCTTATGCCTCAGATGTCTCCTGCCTTCATTTTGTAAAATGACTCATCCCAGAGGTGTTCAAATGTATGAAAAAGTAAAGGCTGTTATAGTTACAGGAAAATCAAGAATCTTCATTGATTCTCAACAACGAGTCCATTAAGAGAATTGGTACTTGTCAGTCCAATTGCAGTCTCCATTCTCCTGCTCTGCTTAGATGCCTGTGGCTTCAGCAGTGAAACAAAGTAGTCACAGGGTTGAGTCTGGCTAGCACAAGTCCCTGAAGGCAAAAGTCAAAGACTTCTATCACAGAGAAGTGTACTGATCTGCATTAACACATAATCTGGCCTTTACTGGAGTGATTGTTAAAATTCCTGCAAGCCCTGAAGGATATTGATATTTTAAACTGTTGTAAATGATAGCTTTGTTAAACCCTAATCTGTTTTGAGCCAGATTGTTCCAATGTATGTATTGTGATAGACAGAAAGGCTGGTCAGTCCTTTTATTTATGGTTCTCGGTATATCTGTTTACCTAGTGAAATCTGAAGCCGAGTGAGGTTGCCGATCACTGCCCCTCAGAACCGAATTACAGCCAGTTTCAAAAGTATCCTGTGCAGTGAGTGTGTGCTGGTTTTTGCAGATATGAAAGTGGGAGGGAATTAGTTCTGCAGTGTGTTTCCCCAGGGACAATCCTCAGTAGCTCTGAAGGATGACTTGGGTGAGATCCTGATCCACGCTCCCCCACATCTCCATTTGTTAGATGATGTGTAAGAGGCATGAGGAGATGAGGTGTCTAGCCTGAAGATTCACAGTGAGATAATGACTCTGACTGGATTCCCCCTTGCTTCTTGCCCCTTTTCTCTAACCTTTAAGATGTACAACTCTATGTGCAGGAAATGTGTTAACTTCTCTCTGCTGCACCCTCAGATTTATTAGCAAGGTGAATACTTAGACTGTTTTAAACTAAATGGATTTTAGCATTACAATATGGTGACTGATAGCTGCTAAAGAATCAGTAACAATCTTATTACTGACAAAAATACCTGAATAAATTAATTTTAAAACCTTATTTATAGCATAATCACATTAATTTCACTCTTCTGGTCTAATATTTTCTAAAGACTGTTAAGAAATGTAAACTCTTAACGGCTTACATCTGTTTCATAGTAATACATATTCTGGCTAAGTACCTGTATTTTGGGGTTTGAGGACTTTGTTATTTGCTTGCTATGAGCTGAAGGATAAGTACATGATCTCTCATCTATTTGCTTTTTTTCTTAAAAAAAATAATTGCCGATGTAATTAAAGGTCATGATTTTCTAGCTTCATTTGGCATTTGTAGTCCCTGGGAACTTTCCTTCCCAACTTTATTCTCACTGCTCACTCTTGTTTATAGATGACCTGGGACAGGTGACGTGATGAAGAAGATAATGGACGTACCAACAGGGAAGGTCTCATATCAGAGCTGATTGTTTGCATTGCAGAGTGTTCTTTCCATTTTATTTTAACTCTTGTGCTGTGTGAGGCAGAGGAACCTTCATCACCACTTATGTGAGGTCAGGCAGAGGATCCAGTCTGGAAGCCCAGCTAACCTCTCCACTGTTCATCCATTTTCTGTGTAAGTTCATTGTATTGTGATGTATCAAGTTAAGTGGGTGGGGAAAATCCAGTGGCTGTGGATTGCACTGGGAAATACAGCAGTGACGGGTGAAGCGGGACAGGGTCACACTACTTGAATTTCAGCATTGTTTTTCAGAGGTCTGAGGACCTTTAGGCCATAGCTTATGCACTGGATCTTTCCTTTTGGCATGGCAAAGTAGAGTAATCAAGTTTGGGATGCAACTGCCTGACAGGTAGGAGAAGACTTCAGAGCAAAAACTGTAGTAAGATGATCTCTTAACTCATCGTGAATCTCTGACACATGATATTTCTTTCTTCATTTAATAACTGCTTTACTCTGGACAGTTTATAGACCCCCCCACTGGCTTTAAGTTATGTCTGGTATTACTGAACCCTGGGGTTGTATTGATATCTGTTTGTTTATAGGTAAACAGTTGCAAATGTTTTCAGGTTGCTCACACACAGCAGAGAGGACACAGGGTAGTTTGGGGCTATAGAAACATAATTTCATTTAACAAACAGAAAAAAAACCTTCAGTCTTTTGTTATCTTTCTGCAGATAAGCTAGGTTTCAGGGGGTAATTAGGTTCTGTTGTTATCTTCTGTATATAGTCTCTAACTGGAAATTTCTTTTGAGAACAGCAGTTCTTAGGCATTTTACATACAC